TGCGAACACTGGGGGAGTGTCCTCTCCGCCATTTTCTGCTCACTCGCATGTGCGAAGCATACGTATGCGCATCCACGTATACGTCCGTGTAGGCACCCACGCACATGCACCGTGCGGCGCCATGCGATGGTACACACACGCAGGCGCATATGCATATGTGAATACTTGCGAAGATGCATAAATGCATACTCATTTGGACACCGTGCACTCGCATTTCACGCTGCTCCCCCCTCCGTTGCGACGTCAACTGTGCGCGGAGATTTATCGCAAAGACATTACACAAATGATGCATGCGCACACGCGTCTGCAAAGCTATGTGCACTTGCTTGCGCGTAATCTAACTGCAAAAGTGGACTCCTCCCCACCAATGAACAATTTCGACATTTAGAAAAGCGGAAAGGATCATTCAAAAGAGGCAGCAAATATATCACTCCACAATTTGCACACTGTAATGTGCAGCCACACTCACACTGGAGTCTTTTTTTTACACACCCATGTACGCACATGTGCGGGCGTGTACACACATATACACCCATATATACACATAAATATATACACTTATACCCTCATACATTCATACACTCACATACTCCTACACCCATATGTATGTCCCCCTGCGCAGCCATAGGATTTCTTTTTCTCTTCCCGTGGCACGTACAAATCACTCGTCGCTACCCTCGCTTTAATCACATTCACGACAACGAAAAATCGATTTTGTAAAAAGATAGGGTAAAGCATCTGCATAGTCTCTACTTCGCGCAAGTTGGATGCGAAATGCGCTTTGCCCCTGTGGTTGGACTCGCTGCAAAATTTCCCCCCCGGTAGGCGCGCGTGACAGCGTCCGAGCATGCACACGTATGTCCATACGGTTAGGAGTTTACACTCACGTTGCGCATCCACCATGCGCGTAGCCATGTGTGTGTCCGTTCGTGTGCCCTTGCGCACGACGGCCGGCGATCTTACCTTCTCTATCGCATTACCGCGGACGTCAGAGGCGAGCAGCCACACTCCAGCAGGAAAAGTCGCTTAAAAAAAATTATGAACAGTTCATACAAAAGAAAAAAAAAAAAAAAAAAAAAAATTGTCTGTCTTACGACAAATGGGTACACCCTTGTACAGTATACTGTCACGTGTTCCTGTGTGTTTTGCTTCGTCCTAACTTCACTCTTACTCTTTATGCGCCAATTGGCGGAGGGAAAATAAAGGAGGTGCTCACAGTTTAGGCGAAATGAATTCAGTCTAATCGTGCATACGGTGGATGCGCTCAGTTTCGGAGGCGAGGCAGTTCGAAAGTTGGTAAAGTGTGGGTAAAATTTTGACAAAGAGATAGCAAAGGGATGGAAAACAGATGGCAAAAAAATAGCAAACAGGTAACAGAACGATGAGAAAGAGGTAACGAAGAGGTGACAATTTTGTTGAAAAAGTGTTGACACCATGTTGGCAATACATTGACAAAGTGTTAACGAAATTGCTACCAAATTACGGCCAAATTTCCGCACCCCAAATTACTCTGCCGTTTTACCCATGTGCACACGTACACACACGAGGGAACGGATGAACAGTCGGCGAAAAGAAAAAAACGAGACAGGCAAGAATGCGTGCTTCGTTAAAATGGCCCCTTTCATACCAGGGGTGTGTCTCCCTTTAGTTGGCAAAAATGCGCACTCTCGGTTAAAGCGAACAAAAAAAAGGAAAAAAAACGAGTGGACAAGTGAAAAAAAAAGAGCGGACAAGTGAAAAAAAAAGGAGAGGACGAACGGACAGAACAATGGAGAATAATCTTACCCCAGGAGGTATCAAAAAAAAAAAAAAGCTAAAGAGAACAGAAAATGAAAAGAATAAACCTCCCCCCTCTATACGCTGCTTCTCTTTGTATTCCCTTCTGCATCACCAAATTTATCCGTCACAGGAAAGTGAAACTCATTTCGATAGGCGCAAAGCCCTAAGGGTGTTTTCCCCCTTTTTCCGTTCGTGTCTACCCAGGGCGTAAAATTAGAAAGTTGCACGATAGTACACTCGCGTGCCTAGCACAGTTGTGCACGGAAACGGGCGGAGTCAACGCACCGTGTTGCTTGCACCCCTCGCAAGGGGAGCTCCGACCTGGGCCCATTTCACATCCTTTCGCCTATTGCGCAGGCGGAACGGCTCGTCACTCTGTTCGTATTCCCAGCTAGCGGTAGGCCTCTAAGGGCAGCCCCTCAAAGCAACCGCTTTAACGTGGGTGTCACTTTTTGGTCATACAAGCGGGTTGCCCTATTATTAGGAAAGAAGAGTCACTTAGGGGGAAGTCTTGAACCGAGGAAGCCTCTAGTGGGGTGCATTGCACCTGGGAATGTATTCACATGTACATCTATAGTGCACCGCTGTCGTGCGGTTCTGTCGTACACTGCTGTCGTGCGTGGTTGTACGGCGCCACCTCTGTGGCACTCGTTCGACGGGGGAGAAAGGGAGCCCATTGGAGTACGTCGCATGCCTCTACACATGCATGTGCATGGATGCATGATCACACAGCGCTGCAAGGAGACACCACGTCCCGCACGTTGCATAGGTCCTCACGCTATAATGCATGTACGTATCTTTATTCGTCCTCACGTTAGTATGCACATACGTATCTTTCTTCGTCCTAACCTTTGCATGCATGCAAGGTTCCATGCCCCTGGCCCCCCACAATTTTCCTCTATACAACAAAAAAAAAAAAAAAAAAACATGCTCTGATTTAACTTGTTATTGTTCGATTGGTAACACTCCAGGACGGTGCCTTAGAAAAATGGTATTCTGCCGTTTCGCCCCTTTCCATTTGGTCCCCTCCGTAGCGGTTTCTTGCCGCTTCTCAGCAGCTACTTAGCTGCCTTTTCCCAACAGAGTCGCGGAAAAAAGGAACGCCGCGGGCGAAGGTACGCGCCCCCGTTTCGCTGCGTTCAAATGGTCACTAGTTTAATTTTCCCCATGCTAGGAATTCCAAAGGGAGGGATGGCCAAATGACATGTAGTTACGTATCGAGAGGGTGACATGTCGTAGGGGAGGAAATCAAATAATTCACACCCCAGATTAGGTAGCGATTAAGACGACGAACAGGTTGACCTGTGCCTACCAACGTCTCTTTCGCATTTCCTCACTTGATCTGTGCGAAGGGAAATGCTTCTTTCCCCCAAGACGATTATGCACAAAATGAATACCACTCCCAGCACCAAAAATGAAGAAAGGAACGAAGAGGGACACAGGATCTTATGCAGAAAGGAATGCTAATGAGGGGAGCCAACACAGCGAGGACAGTCAGTACAGCCACTACAGCGAGAACAGGGATTCGTTTGTTCAGCATCTTTTTAATGTGAATAGGAAAGGCCCTGGAGGGAGGAGGGGCAAGCTGTATGAACAACACGCCCCCCAGTTTGAAAATGAGCAAGGGGAGAGTAACTGTAACTGGTACGATGCGGAGGGATCACCCGGTGGAGGAAGCAGGGCCTACGTCGTGGGAGGTGAGGAGGAGAGGTACCCCGCGCGGGAAGACGAAGAAGTGATGAAGTACTACTCAGTAGTGAAGAGCAACAAAATGAACGACGACATTTTGCAGAATCAGATTGACCACCTTCTGAACTTTAACAACAAAATGGAGACCTATGAAGAGAAACAGAAGAAGTTGCTCCTGGGTTCAGCGAACGATGAGGAAATCGATCCGTGTCTTTACAGCGGGAAGGGCAACAAAGACGAGAAGGATGATGGTGATGACGATGACCATGGTGCAGTTTTTTTTTCCCACTTTGTAGATGACCTAAGTAAGGTGAAAAAGTATCTCCTGACAGAGCGAGCAGATGGTCTCCCCCCAATAAGTGACAACAAAGGGATGAGTCAGCCCCATGGAGTGAATTCCACTGTGCGTGGTGAGGACTTGGTTGGCAATGAAATAGCCCAATCGCTTAACAGCAGCCACATCACGTTCAATGAGAAGAGACTACTAAACATTTGTAACATAAATTTGAGCAACATCTTGTATTTTTACCTTTGCTGCAATGAGGAGTATTCTTTACTGTGCCTGGAGGAGGGAAGGAAACTTGTTTATACGTATGACTCGTATTCCTTTGATAGAGTCGACCGGGGGAGTGATGTCTCCAGCAATCTCCCCTCGGAGGGGAGCTCCAGATCGAGCTCCATAAGCGACGAGGAGTTGCTAATGCTGCGGTATGGTAATGCGGAGGGGGGAAGCTCCTATGGCGATGAGGAGGCAGACTGCTATGACGATGAGGAGGCAGACTGCTATGACGATGAGGAGGGAGATTGCTATGACGATGAGGAGACAACCCGCTATCTTGATGACCGCATTGGTAACCACGTGGAGGACCCCTTACGCAGGAAAAAAAAGCACAGGAGGAAGAAAAAAAGGAAAACCAAGAGGAGCAGGAACGGAGGAAAGGGAGCCACCTCCACCCCGTCCTCCGCTGAGCCAACAAAAATGAATAAAGAGGTAGAATCGTTAATGAATAAGGCCAACAGCTACTACATTAGCCAACATTTCGACAAATGCATAACCATCCTGGAGAAGGTCATTAAGCTGGCACCCAACTTACACGATCCCTTTCACCTCCTAGGTTTGATACACGAGAGAGAATACAAAAATGTGAAGAAGGCAATAAACTACTATTTGATTGCAGCACATTTACTGAGGAATGACTACCTGTCATGGTATAACATCATTGAGCTGTGTAAAATGGAGAAAGAGTACAAGCTCATTTTGTACTGCCTCTTCAAGGTACTACGAATATATAGAAAGAGGATTGCCAAGAGGGAGAAAAAGCGCATGGAAGGGTCTGTCCAGGGAGAAATCGACTACGGAGGGAGTCCATACCATTCCAGTGGAGACCCTCAGGACAGCATCCCAAAGGAGGAGGATCACATTTATGGTGACCACCTCGGACCATCGAAGGAAAACGAACAGAAAAAGATGGCAAAAGAGCAAATAGACGACCTAGACGATTTTTTGAAGCACCTCTATTTTAATGTAGCCTTTACGTACCTTTTGCTGGAGGATTACAAAAACGGGTTGAAGTGGCTGCTGCTTCTACGGAACAGCTGCGGAGGTGAGGTCGACACGATTGTTGATTTGTACCTCTGTGTGTGCCTCGTGGTGGTGAGAAACCCACAAGACAGCTACCACTTCTTAAAGGATATGTTTCAACGGGTTATCCGAGACAAGCGCAGGGATAGAGGAAGAGCAGGGGGAGAAGCCGCATCGGGGGAAAGGACCCGCGCCGACATCTGGTCGTACAAAGAAAAATCCATCATCTGCTTCTTCATGCAGAGTCAGATCTTGAGCGGCAAGTACGACGAGTGCATTTTTGTATACACCATGCTGACCAGGATGAGCAGCCAGAAAGTCCATCTCGACATTTTCATTCAATTTGTGAAGTCCTTCTTGATGGTCGGCAATGTAGATTATGGTTACCTAACTAAGTGTTACTTTTTTCAAGTCATTTTGGGAAACTACGTCCTGTTTGAGGATCTCATTTTCCACCTCGCTGAGTCATACTACTCGCGGGGCATGTTCGAGAGCGCCATTTATTTTTACCGATTGGTGTACGCCCGCAGGAAGGGCGAAGCGAGGGAAGCGAAGGACGCGGCGAGGAGCTCTTTCACAGGAGAGGATCGTTCCAAGGGAGAGGATCCTTCCAGGGGAGAGTCGCGTTACAGCCGAAATAATGCCCCCTCCCTTTGCGGCCCCGCCAGTGATACCCTCGTTCGGTACGACAACGGAGTCGACTTCCTCGCCACTGTGTACAAACTACTCAAGTGCTACTACTACCTGCAGAAGTTCAACAAAGCAGAAAAAATAATCATCAAAATATTGAATAATGAATACTTGGAAAAGAAAAACAACATCGAAATAGACATCAAAACACTGTACATCGATATCCTACATAAAACGAAGAGACACAACAAAGCGATAAGTATTCTCCTCAGCATTAAGCAGAAGAAACTGCGATTCATGTGTTCCATCCCGAACCCTCTAAGCAATAAAGAGAGAGAAGTCCTCCTCCTCAAAATTCTAAATCGAAAAAACAAACTTCTCCTCTACCTTTCTCACAATAGCTACATCATCCATATGTTCTATGTGTATCAGAAGAAGGACAGCGTTTTCTACAAATACGATCATTTCTTGTCCAACCGGGATGTCAACGATATCATTAAGGTGAGGGTAAACATCTGCTTCTGCTACTTCTGCGTCAAGTACAACTTTAGTGTCTTGGGGTACCTCTACCTCTACAACGTCTTAATCTTTCTGGGCTCCAGGAGGAGGAGAGAGAGTGCAACCCACGGGGAATGTAGCAACGGAGGCAATCCGGTCAATCCAGGCAATCCAGTCAATCCAGGCAACCGCAACACTCGCGAAAACAGCGTGGCCCGGGCCACCCCGCGCAGAAGACTCAGGCAGAGGATTGTCACCCTGCACACCTACAGGGAGTACGTCGTCTTCCTCGCCACTTCCTTTCACATTTTCAAAAATAGGAAGAAGCCGGAGAACCTGGATATTGTGCACAAGGATTTGAAGATGGTCGGCACGAGGCTGTACTACAAGGGTGTCTTTGTCTTCGACGTGCAACGGGTGCTCGCCCGGGGGGGCGCACCAGGCGAATCGGTGAACGGGGGTACGAGCATTGCCCGTGTGGCGGATTCTCCAGCCGCTCCTCTGGCCGCCTCTCCCACCCCCCACCCCGCCAGGCGGCAATTCCACAGACAGCTGCGGCGCCTCGCGCAGGGCGTCGAATCAGAAATATTTAACAGCAAAATAATGGGGAAATTCTACAAATTCAGCTACAGCTTTTTTTACTTCCTTTACGAGATCGAGCAGGATTTCAAGCGCATACACACCGCCATGGAGAAGGACATTATGAACTTCAAGGGGGAAGCGGAGGTGGAGGATGGGACGCAGGCGGGAACGCACCCGGGGGGGTGGAGGTCTCTGTTTATGCCGCCTGGCCATAGCAACGTATGCAGAGATGGAGGAGATGGCGGCGAGGGGAGGGAGCTGCAAACCGGGGGGCTGCAAACAGGAGACCCCCCAAAGCGAAGCAAGCGGTTCTCCTTCCTCGTGACGAAGAAAAAAATGAACCTGTTTACGTTTGAAAATTACCTGGGCCTATATTTCAGCCTACTCTTCCTAGAGGAGTGCCTCTTCATCGTGACGACGATGAATATGTATGAGGACGCCATACACATTCTCAGCCTATATCTAAAAAACAGAAAGTCCAGCAAAATGAAGTTCCTCACTTATATGAAATGGGTGAAGAAGGAATTCCAGCATCATAGAAGTAGAAACCATCTTGCAAACGTAGAATCTTATTTTTTCAACACTCCCTACTCTAGTATCATCACGGAAGAGATGCGAAGTGAGTACAGTAACTTCTTCAAGATGCATGAACATGTCGATTGTAAGTATTTCCTCTTCCGAATCAATCTGCTCCTGAACAGGCTGTATATATCCAGTGGGAACTTCGAAAGGCAGGTCAAATGTCTCAGCGATGCCTACATTTTTAAGCGAAAGGAAAACGATGAATACAAGGTGCTGAAGTATTACAGCGATATTGTCTTGACGGGGACCTTCTGCCAGAATTATCTATCCTCCATCTCAAAGTCTAGGTACAAAAATATCTTAATTACTTTTCGGCTCTTCCTAGTTAGGACTCTACATTGTAGAGATAGCAACCCCTTTTTGATTTACCTCATCGGAAATGTGTGCAACCTCTCCTGCATGATCGTGAATTCCGTTCAGGAGTACACTCGCGCGTATGCCTTTCTGCTGAAAGGGAGGAAGGCCAATCGGCAGCGTCTACTGCGGTGGAGGGGCCGTGTCAAGGGGGTGAATCGGGTGAAAAGGCTGAAGGGAAGGGCCAGCGACACAGAGGGGGAAGGAGCCCAGGAGGAAGAATTGACGGACTCCCAATCAGGCAGCGAATCTGATGGCCAACCTAGTGATCAGCCGGGCCACCCCGCTGACACCGCTAACTCCGCTAACCCCCCGGCCGACCTCGAGGAGGAGCACTTCCTGTTCAGCAAGCTGAAGCTGTGCGAAGAGCGGAGGAGGCAAAACCAAGTAGAGAACAACTTCGAAACGGTTGCGGATGATGTGAACTTCCTCTTCAGCCTCATGACGTCCTACTTCAATTACGCGAGTGGCTACCGAGTGCAAAACAGAGAGTCAGTCATGATGACATCCTTCTGCCTCCTCAATGATTACATCACTAAGAGGTATCAGCAAAAGGTTCTTCAAAAAAAAAAAAAGTACAAAAGGTATTCTCTCTTCTATAAGCCATACAAATATATCTACATCGCGGAGATTCTGTACAATTTAGGCAGAGCGCTGCATCAGCTGTCCTACTTCTCCGAGTGCATGAAGCTATACCTAAGCGTCATCCGGTTAGTTCGGCGGGCAGATAAAGAGATGAAAAAAATTTGCTCCTCCAATAAGTTAAACCTTAACAGGAGATTTATCTTCCAACACGTCATTAACATGAATCGCTGCATGTGCTACACGTGTCTCTACTTTGGTCACAAAGGGAAAGCCACTCCCCTAAGAAGCCTCACCAACTATTTTAACAACTTAAATAACAAATACTCCAACCTGTTTCTCCTTTTCTTCGACAAGCGCCACCTCCTGTTCTCGGCCTCCTACAATTTGGGCGTCATTTTTAGGAAGCTCAACAGGTTCGAGCAGGCCAAGTGTGCCCTCAGCAACATCGTCTGGGACTGAAGAAGCTGGATGGAATGGGATGGAAGCCGAATCGAAGCGGAGATGTACCAATGTGCTAACCTCCTCGCTGTTGCATTGCCCTTTTTTTTTTTTTTTTACTTTAACCGGGGGGGGGGTAGGCGAAGATGTAGAACTTATGCACACATGTGCATGCACTGTGAATGGGTGACACCTACCCCTCCTCCTTCATTTTGAGGCATTCCATGCGTCGTATCATACCCCTCCTTTTTTTTTTTTTTTTTTTTTTCTTGGGGGGGGAAGCTTTCCTGCGCGAGGACTGTGCCTTATGGGTATAAAACATGCTCCCCTTTTTTTTTCCAATCGCTGATCTAAGTGAGAGGAAAAAGCTTACGTTCGTTTCTACGAAGCGGTGTAGCAGTTCGATGTTTCGGCACCCCGGTTGCATATACCCTCCTGGGCGACGTCCTACACTGGGAGGAGGCTTTTCTTTTTTTTTCCTCAGGTACAGCACAGGAAGGAGCCGCCTCTAACGGGTTAAGAAAAGGGGGGCAATGAAACCTTCCACGCAAAAGAGTGAAGCCTTGCAAAATTGATGAATGCCATTTTACACCTTCACAAGTTTTCTCCTCTTCTTCTTTTTAACATTTGCTCCTTTCCCACTTCTCCTTTTTCGTTTCCCCATTTTTCCATTTCACCCCTCCGTTAAATGGTGAGAGAAACAGCCTGCGGTGGAGTACGCCCATAGGGGGGGGATCTCCGGAATAACAGTGACCCCCGTGGAGACGCGAAGTTCTCCCCCCCAGGGATAACTACTCACTACCGCTGACCAGATCAAGTGAACAGCTCCGCCGCCTCTTCCCCTCCCCCTTTCGCAGATAAAGAGGTACATCAGGACAAAGGTTATCACGAGCCTAAGCAAGTTCAAATGCTACAACATCGGGAACGACCATACGGCCAAGAGCTGGCCGAACGTAGACTGCATCGACCAAGAAGAAGAGAACGTGGCGAAAAAGACTGAACAGGAAAAGAGGAAGCCCAAAACTATCCCCTACTACAGAAACTACATGCACGATTTTTTTGGAAGACAGCTTATTCATAATTTGCACCTCCAGGAAATGAACAAAATGAAGAAGCTCCGCAATTTTAAAATGCCGAAGATCCACCCGGGGGATTTAGTGGAGGTGAAGTATGAGCTGTCCAGGTCGCAGCAGACCTTCGCCATTTTTCAGGGTGAGCACGTCGAGTTGGTGGCACGCCGCGTTCCCTCACCACGTCGCTACACCGCCTCGCTACACCGCCTCACCACACCGCCTCACCACACCGCTTCACCACACCGCCTCACCACACCGCTTCACCACACTGCTTCCCTCCCCCTAGGCTACTGCGTGGAGATACGCAAGAAACGGCTGGACTCCTCCTTCATCGTGAAGAACATCTTCGACGGGGTCGGAGTGGAGCAGCTCATCCCGTTTTACTCCCCGAGGATTCTTTACGTTAAAATTGTAAAGAGTCTCCACAGCATGAATGAGGAGAAGGCCAAAAAATATTACCAAATCAGCAAGCCGATTACGAGGGACTACCGGTACATGTGGCAGTATAACGTCCGGGGCAAGTACGAGAGGCCAAGGGGGCAGCACAAGCCCGGCATTAGATCCATAGAACCCAAAATTAGAAGACGGCTAGCTAAGCTCAAGAAAAAGTACATGCGCAGAAGAATCGAAAGTAATCTCTCCTCCTATATTTTTGGCGGAGTGTACGCACAGTACACAAGGAAGAGGACTAGGCTAGTGCGTGCAGAAATATACAGACGGATGCTCATTTACGCTCTCGATGAAGAAAACAGGAGGAAGCAGAAGCTAAACAAAAGACGGGAACGGGAAAATTGGAACGTTTTTAAAATCAATCGGAGCCGCGGGGACAATGCCTTTATGGCTCTGCCGGCAACTCACCCCCTTGCGGGGGGGGACACGGGGTGAAACATGAAGCGATCATGGGGGAAGCGAACTTCAATGAATCACCCAAGGATGATCTTCCCACCTCTGCTGTGATGATATTGCCCCCTCTGCACTATGTACACAGATGGCGCGCCACAATGCCTACCCGCAAGCTTCAAAACGGGGGGTGCATCGCAGACTCACCAACAGCGGAGGGGTTGCGCATATTTGAAGTACGGGCAAGTAGCCACCCATCCAGGTGCGCAGAGGAAGTGGATGCGAAGCGCAATTCCACCTCTGAACAGCGTTGGTAAAAAATTGTGCGGGTCGACGGGGTAGGACGGCCGGCGCATAGGGCGCACACGAGACAAAAAAAACAAAGGCAAAAAAAGAAAGGCAAAAAAAGAAAGGCAAAAGAAAAGGAATGAGATAGGCAGAAAAACCAAACGGGGGGGAAACAAAAAAAACGGCAGAATAAACCCGTTCACTTTAAGCGCCCAATTTGTGCTGGACGAACCTTAAGAAGATGACTCGCTTCACACTTCCTAATGTCTGTATATGTCACCGCTCTTCAGGAGGAGAAGCACTTGTCGAGCTTATTCGTGGAGCGGCAGCACCGGTACCCCCATTTCTTTTTTTCCCTGTCATAGTAACTCCCAAAAACGGAGGAGTGCTCAAACAGGTGAACATCCTCCTCGTATCTACTCTGAATTTTAATCCTCTTCACCTTTGGATCGATCTGATCCGCTGGCTTATATTCTGTGTAAATCTCCGACTGAGTGAGTTCCTCCCCCAGGGCTCCATCCTTACACAGAACATCTTCACACTTGTACGTTTTTAAAATATCTTGTTCCTTTTTTTTAATGAGTTTTTCCTTTTTCGCTAAAAACTCTCTATACAGCAATTCAAGTTGAGTAGGCTGTGCATTGAAGTGCACATTTTCTCCTCTCTTGTAGGTCTCCCATGCGAATATCTCTAGCTTCTTTGATTCGATAGCTTCATCTGTATTGTTGTAATAATTCTCCCCCTTGTAATGATTGCTCTCCTCGGGTAGGTTTTTCCTTGTTGTTGCAAATGGGTCTTCTCGCATGCTCCTACTTTTCGGATCGTAGAATGCTGAATTCAAGCTTAGGTTGTAGAGATACTTGGCTGTATCTTCTCTGATTCTTAAATTTCTCGCGACGTTTCTGTTTTTTTCGCTCCCGTTCAAGTTACTGCCGCTGAGGTTGCTTCCGTTCGCGATGCTCTTCTGTGGGTCGTCCGACCCTGTGGCGCCTTTTGCCGCGTCATCCTCCTCGCTGTCGCTTCCAGATGGGTCATCCCCGCGATCACCGCCATCCACGGCATCTCCCCCATCGCCGTTATCCCCTCTCCGCTTCTTCCCCGACGTGGCCTTCCTCTCGTACTTCTGCTTCAGCTCCTCCGCCTTCCTCTTCTTTTTCTCCTCCACGATTTTCTCATACTCCTTATACACGTGTTCGAAATTGTCCGGGTTGTAACCCACCCACCTGTCCCTATTCCCGTCGTAACCCAGATCCTGCGTGAAGCAGACAAAATCTTCGTCGTTGTCTCTGTTGACAAAGTTAAGCTTCTTCTTCCTCGTTCTCTCAAGGCAGTCCTTCTCCTTGTGTGTTACACTCCCACAGTTTTTACAAAAATCGGAGACATTCTTCAGGTTCTTCACGTACACCTTTTTGTTTCTTTCCTCTTCTATTTTCACCTTGTCGGTACCCTTGTACCGTTGGTGTTTCAGTCCTGTGGGGAAAGGGAGGGGGGATAATATGACGGTTCATTCGGTGGGGCCGACCTCCCCTGCAGTGCTCCCTATTAAGCTTCCTTACGTCCACTCAAACGATCCTACGCCCTATTAAGCTTCCGTACTCCCTCTCAAAAGCTTCCTCTTTCTTTTCTACACCGCGATGCGCATCTCCATCCAAGGCTGGAGCCTCCTCTGGCGTTACCTGGTTTGGTCTGGTTCAGATACCACGGGGCTTTTATGATGTACTGGGGCATGTGGGGGTTTATGTCGTTCCCCTCTTCGTCCTTTAGGGCTTCGATTTTGCCTGCGCTCAGGGGGGAACACGGGAAAGTGGGGAAGTGAACAAGTCGAGAAGTATAGAGTCCGAGAAGTATAGAAGCCACGAAGAGGACATCAAAACAGGTCCTTGTAGATATCGCATGCAGGCAAACATATCCGCTCATACGCTTGGCGTTGCAGCGGCACTTACCGGCCTTCCTGGCCTCGTTCAGCTCCTTCTCTTTCTTCTTTTCCTCCCTCGTGACATTTTTGGTATTCATTTTTTCTCTGACGTGGTTTCTGACCTGTCCTTCTCTCCCCCCGCAAACAGATTATACCTCCGCCGTGAGCATTTGAGCCGGGGGTCCCCTGCAATCGCGCCTCGGAGGTGGGTCACTTGGCGCCTACACGTACATACATACAAAAAAGTGTATATAATATATGTAGGTATATATGCCTACCTCTGTATTATTAATCGCTCTTCCAACGGGTGGATTTCAGCCAAGGGAGGAATTCCATTCCTGCGCGCGGGCCTCCTCGCCTATGTGCCATCCGTGGAGTGACAAATTTGCGCACTGAGATGTTCACCTGCTGGAGGTTTCATTTTTGCAAAGCTGCTTAGATCGATGTATCCAATTTTTCCCCCTTCTCCATGCGAACGTTTTTTCCGCGTGTCGGAAAAAAAAAGAAGCGGAAAAAGCGGAGGAAAGGAGTCTCATTTCCTTTTACGGCCTGTGCATACATATAGTAGTATAGTACGTGCATGCGGGTGAGGCAAGTTTAACAACAGCGCACGTACAGGTGCGTGCCGCTTCAGTTCACAGTTAAATTGGAGCAATAGGAGACGCATCTTACCGAGAGGAAGCCTCACAGCGAGTTTACTCCTTGCAGGGTTCATGGGAAAATAAGGCTTATTTATGGCCAACCCGCTCTGCCCGCTCCTAACCTTCTTTCACCTTTGTCCCAGAAAAGGGATTTCATTCACGCGATGGACAAGAAAAATTCAGTTGGGTCAAGTTGGCCTTCCCCTTAGGGGTATATAAACCCCCTCCCGTAGAGGCATACTATATATATACACATATGCTGACCCATTATCGCGCTAACAAAATGAGTGAACTTTCAGAACAAGGGGTTTCAATTTGTTCGTTGCGAGTTGTGGTCATCTCCCCGACGGGCGCAAGGAAGAGGCCACACGGGGGCAACGGTTGCGCAGGGCAGAGGCTCCCTCCGACAGAGTTAACAAAAAAACAAACAAAAAGTGAAAGAGCAAGTGAAGGTGAAAATGAAAGTAAAGGTGAAAATGAAAGTAAAGGTGAAAGTGAAGATAAAAGACGGGGAAAATAATAATCCTATGTGAAGTAAAAACGAGGAAAATTCACAAAGAAGTCTTAGCAAGAAAATTTCACAAAGAAGGTTTAACAAGGATGGGCTGAGATACATCCCCCCCCTTTACACCCCTTTGGGAAAGACACTTCCTTCCTGAGGGTGTCGGTTTGTCCACAGCCCTCCCCCGCCTCTATTCACATAGCGTTGGTAACCTTGAGCTGCTCAAAGATAATAAGCCTGTACATATTCAGAATGAACTTCTTCCCATCTGCATCAAGAAACTTCTCTGCCTCAACAAGCATCTCCTTTGGAGCTCTCTGCTTCAAAATCTGATCCACAAAATAGTCGCTAATTTGCCCTGTTATTTCTTTCTCCTCGGAGCCTATATACTCCATTATCTTTTTACTTATCCATGGCTTCAATTTTGTAATTATATTCCCCTTCTGATTTAGGACCTTCCAATCAATGGGGAAGTTAAATATCTCCTCTTCGCTGGAGGGGACCATCTCTAGGATTTTTTTCGAGTTCTCTATGACTTCTACGGTTTGGACGCTTTCTTCCCCGGATGCCGCAGATGTCGCGGCTGCTGGGGATTCCCCCCCCTCTTCCGCGTCTTTACCTTTTCCACCCAACTTGGCAAGTGGCCTCTTTTTCCCTGCGAACAGGTCATCTTCATCGTTGGTGCTGAACACGTTCTGTAGGGCTCTCCTGGTGGATACGCTTCTCGCGCTCTCCGAGCCTGTGTTTTTTTTTTTTTTTCTCTCGTTCACCTTTATGTTGATCGGTTCTGAGGGGAGGGATTTCCGCTTGCTCGTTCGCGCATCCACGGGGGGAGTGTACTCCGCCTCTTCCTCCGCGCAGTTCTCCTCACAAGTCTTCTCCGCATTGTCTACTGCCTCGTTAACCGCATTGTCGTTGTCTACTTCCTCGTCGGCGGTACCGCGTCCTTGCTTCTCCCCCTCCGCTGCCTCACCAGCCAGGGCCTCGTCCCCTTTCTTTTCCACCTTACCCTCACTGCCCCTGTCAAAAACGAACGACAAGGCATTCATAAAAAAACTGCTCTTGGGCTTAGACACACTCCCACTATCTTTGCTCTCCTGTTGGTTGTTTGCCTTCCCGGTTGCGTCTTCAGCAAGTTGGTCTGACTTCTCCTTCTCGGCCTGGTTCTCCCCCCTGGGCGGAGCGTCTTTAGCGGCTTCGTTGGCAGTTTCTATGGCACCTCTAGAAGCTTCTCTGGCAGATTCTTTGAAAGCTTCTCTGTTGACTTCCCTCGCCGCCTCCTCCGCCTCTGCCCTGTCTCGCTCCGCCTGCTCCTTCCTCCTCGCCGCTTCCTGCGCCTCCTCCGCCTCCCTCATCTCGCTGAGGCGATCCAAATCGTCCAGTTCCTTCTCTTTTTTTCTCTTCGAGTTCCTCATTTCCCTCTTCTTCGAGGTAGACAGATGGGCATTCTCCTGCTCCCCCTTTAAGTCAGATTCAATGAGCTTAGCAATATCTTTCTTTTGTATCTGCAGAAGTTTGTTCCACTCTTTGTACGTGTCATTTTTAATCTGTTGTTCCAATTCGATCCATTCCTTTTCCCTCTTGAGAAAATCCTTCTCTAGTTCCTTCTCTTTGTTAATCACTTTCTGTATTCTTTCCTTTTCCCTCCAGTGTACTTTATATTCTTTGCTCAAATATTTGCTCTTGCCATCACCCTCTTCGTTAGAAAGCGGCTTGTCTGTACTTCTCTCCCTCCCGCTGTTGGAGGTGGAGTGGTTGTTTTTCATCCCGTTGGTGTGACCTTTTTCAGCTTGATCAAACTCATCGGCACTGTGATTCGAGTAATTTCGACCGTCTCCGTGGTACCTCTGTCCTTTACTTCCCTTCTGTGGTGCATGCCCGTGGTGTATCAGGTGCCCATTGGAGATTCCTTCCCTGGTCGCGAGGTCCATGGTGAGGAGGGGCGGTCTCCCCGTAAGGAGATTCTGCTGAGGGGTGGTCGCTCCGTAAAGGCGATTCTTCTGAGGGGTGGTCGCTCCGTAAAGGCGATTCTTCTGAGGGGCGGTCTTCCTATAAAGCCGCCTTCCCTGTGGAGAAGTTCCGCCGAAGTGTGCACCTCCTCCTTGTTTGCTTTGTTTTTACTTCTCCCTTTTTCTTCTCCTTTTACTTCTCCCTTTTTCTTCTCCTTTTACTTCTCCCTTTTTCTTCTCCTTTTACTTCTACCTTTTTCTTCTCCTTCTACTTCTCTTTTTTTCTTCTCCTTCTACTTCTCCCTTTTTCTTCTCCTGTTACTTCTCCCTTTTTGTCTCCTCCCTCGGTGGAGTAAAATATGGGCGATTGGACTTGATTCAATTCCTCGCCTCGCCCCCAAAGCTGTCGTTACAATTCGTCTTTTAATTTCCCCCAATACGCTCACACATAATCAAACACACCGTAGAGGAGCACAACGCTAAGGTGAACCTTTGAGAGGGAAAAAAAACAAGATCGCATAAACTCATTTTGTGTCTATACCACTTGTGCATTGATTAGAGGCTTTTTCTTCTTCTTTTTTCATGGCATCGTCTCCCCTTCTTCATACAGATCAGTATCTTCTATACGTGACGACCTGGTTCGATCTTCCTCACCACTCGCTGGTGGTTCTTCGTTCTTTTTGCAACCCCTATGAAGGACCACTTTTTTCACTCTTCCGCTGTGAGCCTTCCTTTCCGCTGCAGTGAACGTCTTACCCTTGCGATAAATACCCACTGGGGGGTTGTAGCAGCGCGGAGGCTCTAAGCTACGCTTCCTGTGGGGGGCGAAGCCTACACGTGGAAGTACAGTAATGCCATCACGCAATGGCGTAATTGTCATCTGGCTATCCACATGGGACTATCCTCATGGCGCTATCACGTCGAAGCAGTGCGCGTGGCCCTATTCGGAAAAAAACAGGTTACTCTCCAAAGGTGGCGCAAACTCGCGTGCACGTCACATATAACCAACAGTGATTTTACCGCTGTGATCATGCAGGCGGATATGCACTTTCGAATGCGGCTGCAGGGGGCTGGGGGGTTCCCAAAATGCTGAGGAGTTCTGCAATTTTTGGCAAAAGGGCAGCGGAAAAAGCGGGGAAAAAGAAATCCAAAGAAGAACAGAAAAAAAAACAAAAAAAAAGCAAAAAATAAGGGGAAAAAAAGGGAATAAAATTGCGAAGAGTGGCAATAAATTAACACAACCTATATGTGGGAAGAAAAAAATAGAAACACAAAAAAAGCCGCCTTCGTCGTCGCCTTCATCATCGCCTCCGCCTTTACCTTTGACTGTCCCCCTCTCGCTGGATTCACATTTTGCTTTAAGAACCCACGGCGGGTAGGCAGCACCGTGCCTTCTACTAGGAGACCCATCCCACGCACGCGAAGCTGTAGCAGAATGAATCAAACAAAAACAAAGGGCTTCACATCTGAACTCACATAGGGGGCATTTTAACATCCTTTCATCGCCTACGTGGTTGCACAGTATAGTCTCTCCCCCCAATCGTCTTCCCCGTTTTTTTTTAAATAATTTTGTAAAAAATATCTTATCAACTTTTGAGTTACATTTATAATGTCCTTCTTTTTCTTCCACCTCCCTTCGGTTCATCCTTCTATTTTCCAGTCAGTGTGGGCGCTTGCCATATTTGGCATGATGGACACCACAGCGACGTTCCGAAGTAACCCTAAGGGGGGGAGAGAGCTCCCCATCTTCTAAATGTGATGACAAGCGTGAAAATGCAATGAAACAGAAAATATGGAGAACCCAACTATACAAGTCTTTTTAACCACCCCCCGCTCTGTGTGTGTATTTTTGCTCGTGGCAGAAACGTCATAGAAGACCCACTTACGCAAAGGTGAATTGTGCCACCTCATTGGAACATGTACATATAACAAGGTGGCTTGTTTCATGTGAATGCCAATCGAACGGGGAAGGTAAGGGGCCCGAATCGGTGAACAACCCCCATCCCTACGCACGTTGCTCCGTCTGGTCTCTTTACAACGTGCATCGTTTAATGGGTCCATTTTTAAACGTGCCGAAGCACAACGATCAACCGGTGCTCGCACCCACATAGTTTCACACCCTCGTTGCGCAAATAAGTACAGGTACCTACGAACACTTGTAGCTGCGGAACGGCACACTGTAGGTCGTGAAAAGGATCTACACAGTACCTGTGTGATGAATGTACACGCACGCAAATACGTATGTGAATGGAAACCCTTTCCGATCGTCCACTTCACATTTGGTGCATCCTTATTTAATTTCCCTTTTCATGGGAAGAGAAGCAGCCAGATTGGTAACACTGCCAGATGGGTACTTCCGATTACGACTTGTTCCTGCCCGTATAGAGAAAACAATTGCGAAGGGAAAGCACGACGGCGTTCTATGACTTCCCCTTTCCCATGTGTGCAGTTCTGCTTAGGCGAACACTGACTGGACCATTTGCATATTTCCAACAACTATGTTATGTTTGCTAAATAACAAGGCAACGTTATAATATGTTCAGTCTGAAAATCCGCCCCAAAGGGTGGGAGCACAAGAGGGATAAAGGAATACCTCAGTTGTCCGCTTAAAACGTTACATGTGAGCAAAATTTTATCTTACTAAGGGGCATCATATGCGTGCCACATTTTGTGTGATGCAACTAAGTTGTCCTTTTTATTTAAACTCCGGAGTATTTTATTTTTTTTTTCTTTTTCCCCTTTTTAACCGTCCATTTGACGAACGCTGAGGGGAATTAAAGGAGCGCTCCCGAGTTATCCGCAAATTGGAAGTGGCATCCTTAGCATTTTTCACCATTCAGGAGAAACACCGTGCGAATGCGCTGAGGCACAGTTGGCTAAACCGCTGCGACACGGAATGGGGCTAACCTTTCCTTTCCCCATTCCCTCTTATTTGTTGTTCTTTTTTGTTCTTTTCTGTTTTTTCTTCCCTTTCGTGTTGATGAAGCTTTGGCCCAGAATTGCAGCTGAGCCCTTACCCCCAATGAAAGGGCACGGCCTGTCCAGGGAGGAGCGAGCAGTTGGCGCACACATGCAGCTACGCAGGAGTGCACAAGGGTAGCATTATACATACATATATACAAATATATATACATACATATATACATATATATATATATTCACATGCACGTGCATATGTTTGCGCATTCTCCTGACCGCTCCACCGCTTGAACCTTTTCTTGGTATTCGCCGCGCGCAAGCATTTATAAATATATATATATGATGCACGTATAAGCTTTATCTTTTTATGTACGAACATTTACATGTTTGTGCTTGCGGCGGGGCCGATACTCTTTTCCCCCGTGTGGATACGCAGAGGGATACGTATTCGCACACGCGTCTGCGTAAGGAGCACATTCTTCGCGCGTCGGTGGGAACTGCTCGGGGGGCAAGTGCACTGAACCGGCGGTGCGCGTAATAACGCCTCCATATTGCAAGCGGTTGCACACATGTATATATATATATATGTATGTATGTATATGTATATACGTATTTATATGATATATGCCTTATATGTACACCTTCACATGCGTCGTCGCGCCCGCGCTTCCTTGTGTATGCCCGCCTCAGCGCACACCCCTCTTCTTCACTCGAAATAGCCATTTCCCCGCTGTGCACAATGGCATGATCATATTTTTTTTT